AAATAAAAATGGAAACATCATTCCTGTTACACGTCACAACCTCTGTTCTTTCTTGTCCATAGACACTGGCCCACCCTCCTGGCTCATTTGGTAGCCACGTGGCAGCAGCTGGCATGTGTGTTTAAATAAACCCCGTTCGGTTCTGTGCTCTTAAAACCTGCATCATTTGGTGTGTTGGGCACTCTTCTTAGATTTCCCATTTCGTGTTTTTCTTAAGAATCCGTGGAAATCTTCCTCTACTCCTTCCACCTGTACCTTTCTTGTGGTGTTTAGGAAGCGGATCATATGTTTATACATGGCTTTTCTCTTGAAAATTTCTTTAAGGGGCTATAAGGATTTCTTTTGGGGAATATGCATTTCCATGAAGTGAATCGTTTTGCTTCTTTAGGTCATAAGCATTGTTATGTATCCTCAGATCCAGATCCTATAAATCTTTGGAAGGTCCCTATAATACACTGTAAGCAAAATATTTCACTTTGAAAATTATCTGGTGAGGAAATCCACAGAGCCAGTTCCTTTCCTAGTTCCTGGTGAACAAACTGCTTCAAACAGGTAATACCTAGATTTCTTACACAAACGTATGCCCAGTTTTTCTTTCCCTAGGGTCCTTTAGGTCGTACCTCTTATCTTCTTTTTAGTGTTTCTTTTTTCACATTGCTTCTCTGAATTACTCTTTATCCTCTTTATATGAATTTAATTAGGCTTTGAAGGCTTCTTTTAACATTTCTTTTTCTTTACTTTCTTTTTTCTGCCCATTCCTCCAGGGCTTGGGATCCATTCATTCACAGTGAGAGTTTCTTTTTTTTTTTTTTTTTTTTTGAGACGGAGTCTTTCTGTGTTGCCCAGGCTGGAGTGCAGTGGCCGGATCTCAGCTCACTGCAAGCTCCTCCCAGGTTTACGCCATTCTCCTGCCTCAGCCTCCTGAGTAGCTGGGACTATAGGCGCCCGCCACCTCACCCGGCTAGTTTTTTGTATTTTTTTTTTTTTTTTTTTTAAGTAGAGACGGGGTTTCACCGTGTTAGCCAGGATGGTCTCGATCTCCTGACCTCGTGATCCGCCCTTCTCGGCCTCCCAAAGTGCTGGGATTACAGGCTTGAGCCACCGCGCCCGGCCCACAATGAGAATTTCAACAGCGATTCCTCCCCTACTTCCTCTTTCATGGACCTCACAGAACTTTCCTCCTGGAGCCAGGCTTGCTGGCCCCGGTTCCTCTTCTCATTAGAAGCGATCTCTCCTAGAGTCCTTCTTGCAGCATTGACCACTACAACGTGGCTTCTGTTTTCCCTTTTCCTTTATTTCTACCACCCGGTGAAATCAGACTTCTCCTCTGCATTTCCCTGAAGCTCTACTAATCCCCTTTTCCTTCCCTCCCCATCTCAGGTGGCTTCCTTGAGTTCACCAGAGCAGCTGTCCTCAGCTTCCCTTTGCCGTTTCTCCTCTCACTCTGCACCCTTGAACCCTTGAGTCCAGCCCCGCTGGTTCAGGTCATGGCATTAAGGCCTGCTCTTGGGCAGTGTGCCTAGCCTTTCTCCAGCGAAGGCCCCACACTAGGTAATTATGGTTTTATTTTATTATTATTAATTTTATTTTATTAATATTATTTTTCTGTCTCTCACTGTGTCGCCCAGGCTGGAGTGTAGTGGTGTAATCTTGACTCACTGCAACATCCACCTCCCAGGTTCAAGCAGTTCTCCTGCCTCAGCCTCCCAAGTAGCTGGGATTATAGGTGCCTGCCACCACGCCCAGCTAATTTTTGTACTTTTAGTAGAGACAGGGTTTCACCATGTTGCCCAGGATGGTCTCAAACTCCTGACCTCAGGTGATCTGCCTGCCTTGGCCTCCCAAAGTGCTAGGATTAAAGACATGAGCCACCCCACCCAGCAGATAATTATGTTTTTATTGTCAACACCTGCATGTTTCACTGCCTGATATGCTCAGATGATTTATGGAACCTCATCTTTTTCCATTTCCCTTAACTCTACTGGAGTATAGTTGACAAATACAAATTGTATATAGTTAAGGTGTACACTGATATTTTGATATATGTATACATGATTAAATGATCACACAGTCAAGCTATTAACATCTCTATCACCTCACATAGTAGTCATTTTCTCTTATTTTGTGATGGGGGTATTTAAGATCTTACCTCTTAGCAAGTTTCAAGTATACAATACAGTATTATTAACTATAGTTACCGTGCTGTACAATAGACCTCCAGAAATTATTCATCTTGCATAACTAAAACTTTTTACCTTTTGACCAATATCTTCCCATTTTCCCTGCCTATTATCCCCTGGCAACCACTATTCTACTCTCTGCTTCTGTGAGTTAGACTATTTTAGATTTTTCCCATAAGTCAGATCATGTAGTATTTGTCTTTCTGAATCAGGTTTATTTCACTTAGCATACCTCCAGGTTCATCCATGTTGCAAATGACAGGATCCCGCCCTCTGCCCTTTAAGGCTGAATAATATTCCATTGTATATATATACTACATTTTCTTTATCCATTCATCCATTGATGGACATTTAGGTTGTCTCCATATCTTTTGAGCCTCATCTTTTGCAGGCTTTCATCTTGTACAGAAAGTATAAGAAAGTATCTCAAACTTTTCTGGTAACAGTCCAGTTTTCTATTTCCCAGTCTAAACTCCATAGTAGCCAACCATTATTGGTCTACCAAGATGGTTAATACCTCGCCAAATCTCATTAACAGAATCATAACGTCGTTATGAACAAAGCTCTCAGATTTCACCAGACAGCTATTCTAGTGCTCTGATCCCTTTTTACTGCTAAAGTCTCTGAAATACATCAGATTTCTGAATATTCTGATGGTCTGAACTTACTACTCATTTCTAGGAAGGTCTGCAAGCCTGTACTTTGGGTTCATGCATAATGAATGAAAACCAGGGTCTCCATCACAGGTCTCAGACGGCAAGGGATTTTAGAAGGTGCTGCATAGTTGCTATTTCCATTGACTGGGCAATAATGGAGAACTCTTGCTATGTACAGTTTCCTATAGCATCTGGCGCAAAGCCAGAACTTTGACATGTTCTCTTCCAGAACTTCTCTAAGTTTGGGGACCTCATGATTTTTAGTGTCCAGACCCATGGGATCAGGACTTCTTTGTTTACATTTATGGTTGGTGTTATGGTTGGTAGAACTGATGACTATTTAATTGGTGCAGTAAGAGGCCACCCTGCTTCAAACCCACTGGGTCCATATGATTGCATCAGCAGGTATTGGGTATGACCCCTGAGAGCTCTGTTTCCTGCTTTGTGAGACCCTGGCTTCAAGACACTCCTGTTAAAAGGCAAATATCCTGGCCGGGCGCGGTGGCTCACGCCTGTAATCCCAGCCCTTTGGCAGGCCAAGGCAGGTAGATCACAAGGTCAGGAGATCAAGACCATCCTGGCTAACACGGTGAAACCCCGTCTCTACTAAAAATACAAAAAATTAGCCGGGCGTGGTGGTGGGCGCCTGTAGTCCCAGCTACTCGGGAGGCTGAGGCAGGAGAATGGCGTGAACCCGGGAGGCGGAGCTTGCAGTTAGCCGAGATTGCACCACTGCACTCTGGCCTGGGCAACAGAGCAAGACTCAGTCTCAAAAAAAAAAAAAAAAAAAAAAAAGGCAAATACCCTCGAAGAGTCCTATTAGATAATTTCCTAGGGAGGGGCCTGGCCATTCCATTGCCTTTGGAGTCAGATGAACATGGATTCCCATTCTGGCTCTTCTACTTACTAGGTGAATGATCTATAAAGTCTTTGAGCCTCCGTGTCCTTATCTGTAAAAACAGGCATAACAAAACCTACTTCATTGGATTGTTCTCACCGTTCAGTGAGGGCTTTGGAAGGGTATTGTTATGACAAAGTGCTATGTAAAGGGCAGTAAATTGTCCCTCTTTTTGTTTCGTCCTCTTGCCTTAACCTTCTTGAGCGTGTATGTAGAGGAGGGTCTCACTGGCATCCACGACATACAATAAATAAAGAGTCAGGATGGTTATAAGAATACAACACTTGGGGCAGATGGAAAAATTCAGCCCCAAGGTAGAGAGGGCAGCATAGGGCTAAGGGCAAGAACTATGTGAAATAGGCCAGGCGCGGTGACTCATGCCTATAATCCCAGAGCTTTGGAAGGCCGAGACGGGTGGATTGCTTGAACCCAGGAGTTTGAGATCAGCCTGAGTAACACAGTGAGACCACATCTCTATAAAAAATAAAAAAAATTAGCCAGGTTGTTGTTGTTGTTGTTGTTGTTGTTGTTTTGGAGGGACTAGAACAGTATTAAGACAAGAAAGCTGCCAGATGCAGTGGCTCATGCCTGTAGTCCTCAACTTGGGAGGCTGAGGCAAGAGGATCACTTGAGTCCAGGAGTTTGAGGCTGCAGTAAGCCATGATTGTGCCACTGCATTCCAGCCTTGGTGACACAGCAAGAGACCCTGCCTCTAAAAAAAAAAAAAAGGACAAGGAAGAATGTTAGATTCCAAAGGCAAAGGTATAGGACATAGAATTGTGCACAGAAGGTCAGGGGGCTCAGGGAAGGTAAACGACGCTCACTCACCAACTTTGCTCAGGACAGACCCTCGTTTTCTCCTTGATGTTGAGCGTATTCACGTTAGTCTCTCAGCCTAGAATGAATGGAATTTATTGTGTTAAACTGGTGAATCAAAGGGACATGAATGCTAACTGAGGAACAGCTGTGAGACTGCTGTGGGATCCCAGTTGTAGCAACTTGCTCAGGTGTCTGCGTGCAGTGTTGGTTGTCAGAGGAATGAGATCGAGTTTGGGAGGGCTACCTGTTATCCAGGTAATCTTGGATGTGTTTCCCAGCCTCTCTGAGCCTCAGTTCCTAATATTATCTAATATTACTACTTATATCACATACTCTTTATAATGATTAAGTGAAAATACTTGATCACTTTAAAGTTCCAAACAAATCTTATTTTTCTATAAAACTTGTATGGAATATTATTAAAGTCCAATCATTTGTGTGTTCCAGATAAGGAAACCGTAGTCCGAAGAGATTCAATGAGTGTTCGAGGCAATTAGCGGCAGTGGTGGGAATGGAATCCACGGCTCCAGGGAAGGGAGTGGAGGCAGGACACTGTGAGCCTCTCAGGCCAGGTGAGTAGGTTCTGACCAGCCAGGGCCACTAAACTGGCAGCGAGGGGGGTCCGTGTGTGTCAGCTGTTGGGTGAGGAGAGCAGGCACAGAATGAAGTCTTTCATAAGGGAGTTACCGCTTGGCCATCTTCCCAGAATGCCTGCTAAGCCGAAACTGCCCAAGGGAAGGGGCCTGTGTTGATTCAAGAATCCTTACTCTTGTGAATTTGGATGGACTGTAGGGACATCAGAGGAGTTGGAGGAGGTGCGATTTTCCTCCTTTAGCCAAGCAGGAGTGTGTTAGATGGGACTGAGTAGGGAGGGGACCAGGGAGCAAGGTGAGGGGGAGTTTATCCCAGGTGCTACCCGGGCCTGGCCGGCAGAGCAGTCCTATGTGTGTAGGGGACAGATTCCTCCATGCCAACCATCACCTTGTCTTTAGTATGTTGCAGAGGCAGGGCACCTCTTCTCAGGGATATGGGACGGACAGCTGCTTCCTAACATCCTTAGGAAGATTTTCCCTGGAAAACGATGGACTGAGACAGGAACACGCTCAGGAAATAAGAAGGAGAGGTGGCTAAATACCTCACGGTTTTTGTTTTGTTTGTGGACCCCACGGGTTTGAATGCTTGAGTTCCTAGCATTTTCCCCGACTCTCTTTTTCTCTCTTACCTGCATTCTCTGGGGGCTTTTTAGGGTTTCTAATTAGCCTTCCTCCTGCCCCCACCAGGGTCCCTCCACTGTGAGGTGCTGCAGACTCATAAAGCTTGTGACTTCACCTGGAGCTCGTGATTCATTCTGGCACCTGAAAAGCCTGGGACCAAATGATTCCTGATTTCTGAGTTCTCCTTGTGTTCCAGAGGGCTCAGGGCTATGGTATAGGAGAGGGGCTCTGAGAAAACTCAGTGTTAATTTTCAGGATTTTTGTGATCTAGTTAATATCACACTGGCCACTTGAAGTTGGCCAAGGTAGGAGAGTGTTTCCACCACGGGAGTTAGCAAATGTTACGAATCAGGACCTTTTTTCCCCAGATACTTGGTTGTTAACCTTTTACCAGCATGCTGCTTGCTAAGGGAGGGGTGCAGGATTCCGAGAAGTTTTTGGAGCAGCTTTTATTCAAGTTCCCAGAGGCTCCTTAGAGCTCCCCAAGAAGGTTCAGTGTCCTAATACCCTAATTCCAGGCACCAATCTGTTTGGGTGTTGGATACCCTGGGAGAGACGGGCAGGGGAGCCAACACTGAGTGCTACTCTGGGCTGGACAGTGACCAGGCTCCTTCTGTCCCATGCTCCTGGCTCCCATCACCTGGTGTGACTAGGGAACCACTCCAGGGCAGAGCGGCCACATTCTTTAATGTGATGGCAAGGCAGGCCCAGGGCTCTGAGCCTCCTTGGAACTCCATGCCAGGACCCTCCTCTCTCCCTTCCTTATCTTTGGATGGCAATCACACAAGACCCAGATGTCAAACTGTCTCTAATTCCTAACCAAGGCATGTGGGGTTTGGCAGGCCCCCAGGCATCTGACTATGACTTTGAACCACCTTGACCTTGTTTGTGTGATCAGCGCCGCAGGCATTGTACATGGGCTCTGCTTCCTCCTACCTCTCCAAAACTTTCTCTCCCAACCCGCCATCTCCAAACTGCTCACGGACACAAATCACAACACAACAAAACAAAAATGTATAAACCAACAAAGCAACAACAACAACAAATGTAACTCCCCTCTAAACGGGAAACCACAAACAACATCCTCTCCCACCACCTCGGGGGGGAAACTAACTTGCTGCCTTCCAGAAATGATAGAAACTTGCTATTGAAAAAGCACTCAACACATGAATCACGCGTCCTCCCACGACTTCATCTGCATGAAAACAGACAACTGATTTGCTTCCATCCCTAGTTTTTCTGCCCAGAAGTTACTGTGTTTTGGTGGCCTCAGAACTGGCGGCTCCAAGAGATGGCTGCTGGAGAACATGCCAGGGGCCTGCTGTACTGACATGTCCCAGGAGAGGGGAAGGCGGGACAATGACTGAAAGACCCAGTCTCGGAGATGACCGGTGTGGTTCCCATGTCTGCAGTTTCTGATGAGATCAAGAGAGGGTGATGGAGCTGCCCAAGGTCATCCTGGGAGTGAGTGCAGAGATGGGACAGAGACAGAGCCGGTCAAGTCCTAAAGTTCCATTCCAGATGTTACAGTTGGCAGGGCTTAGACCAGGCTGTTGCCCTCACAGTACGGGCACATCATGCCCAAGGGAAATGAAGGCAGCTGAAATATCACTTTGCATGGGCAAGAGCCCAGCACAAGAATCGAATACTGTGTGTGGATGGGAATCCTACACTGAACCACCAGTCACTGCCTTTCCTGGGAGTCAGATTTCTCCCCCGTCTCGGGAAGGGCTTGGACTAGATCAGGAATTGACAAACTATGGCCCACACGCTAAATTGAGCCCGCCGCCTGTTTTCGTCTGGCCGGTGGACTGAGGATGCCTTTTACCTTTTTAAATGATTGAGAAGGAGAGTAACGTTTTCATAATGTATGAAAATTATATGAAATTCACATTTTGATAACCATAAATCAAATTTGATTAGAACACAGCCATGGCCATTGTATTATGCATTGTCTATGGCTGCTTTTGTTGAGTGCTTGTGACAGAGACCGCATGTGGCCCACAGTTGAATACGTTTACGGTCAGACTAGATGACTCTGCCAGGCCCTTGCGGCTCTCGCATTCTAGACAGGGCACTTTTAGGGGTCTTTCCATGGGCCCTGTCAACCTCCAGTATGCTTGTGAATCCTCCAGTGGTTTCTCAGTGCTGCTTCGGACCCCTTGTCCCGGTTGGTTTCTCGGCAGGGAGCACAGAAAAATGGAAAGAAGGTGATTCTGGACAGGGAAGAGGGAACTATTATGATTCTATTTTGATCAACCAAGAGCAAGATGGCTGCTGACGTGTACTCTAGTTTCCCCAGTGTCTCTAAAAGCTCACACTCATGGCAGAATTTCTAGTGGGCTTGAGACAAGGACCAGCCTCTGGGAAGGGTCTTTATCAGAGCAGACTCTCAGGAGGGAAAAGACCTTTTTTTTTTTCTTCTGAGTTTCCTTTTCCACTCTCTGCCTTTGTGCGTTACAACAGATCAGGAGACACGAATCTGGACAGTTACGCAGCCAGGGAAGGGCTTTGGATGAAGCGCTGCCCTGCGGGGAGCAGGGTCCTGTGGTCAGCTCCTCCCAGCCCTGGTGCGTCCTGGACCCGGGCCTTGCTCTTTGACTCCCATGTCCTGTGCCCACTTGCTGTGTTCTGTGGCTGGGGCCTGTTTACTACACTCCACTCGCAGCTGTTTCTTTAACCATAGAGACCAAGCCATTCTGAAAATTCTTCCAACTACAACTTGTGGGCAGTTATTATGACGCCGCCACCGCCGCTGCTTTGCCCCTCTCGTCACGGGAAAATAAACAAGCAGACAGCTCGGGAGAGCCCGTGGCACAGAAGATGTGGTGATAGAGGATGGTGTGGGGGTGAGTGGTGGGCACAGGGAATTGTCTCCATCCACAAATGCACAGCAAGGCCAAAACACAGCCCAGAGTTTCTTGGGCCACTTTTTTACCCATCTGGGAATCTCCTCTAAACCTCACCTGACAAGTGGCCTCGAGTCTCAGCACTTTCCCTCATCAAAAAGTGCTCTTCTTTCTTCGGTGACTGCTGTTGTGGTCTCCTCACTCCCCACCTAGCATGTCATGTCTGTCTGATTCTCTCCAGGCTGAACATCTCATTTGTCGTGATTTCTTTCTCTCTCTCTTTTCTTTTTTTTTTTGAGACATGATCTTGTGCTGTCACTGGGGCTGGAGTACAGTGGCATGATCATGGCTCACTGCAGCCTCCAACTCTTGAGCTCAAGCAATCCTCCCACCTCAGCCTCCTGAATAGCTGGAACTACAGGCACATGCCACCACACCCGATAATTAAAATTTTTTTTTTGCAGAGACAGGGCCTTCCTATGTTGCTTAGGCTGGTCTCAAACTCCTGAGCTCAAAGGGATCCTCCCACCTTGGCCTCCCAGAGTGCTGGGATTACAGGCATGAGCCACTGTATCTGGCCTCATTGGTCATGATTTCTAGACCCTCCATACTCTTCTTGCCCTTTTGGGGGCGCCTCCAAGAGACACCTAGGTGTGGTGGACAGAACACAAGCTTTTCCAGGGGTTTGAATACTAGGCCTTTAGCTGTATGCCTTTGGAGAAATTACTGAAATGTGCTGAGCCTCTGTTTCCCCAGATTTAAAAGGACGATAATAATTACTTTATAGCGTAATTGTCATGACTAGATGAGATGAATGTACAGTATGTCTGGCACAAAGTAATCCCTCAGTAAGAATATTTATACACCACTTCTGCCACATTTGTTTCCTTTAATGTAGCTGCTAGAATCTAACACACTATTCCAGACAAGGCTTGAACCATAGTGAGTACGGCGGGCCCATTTGATCTCCTAATGCAGCCTAATGTGATCTTGGCTTTGGTTGTTGTTGGGGACAGTCACACTACTGGGAGGGCAAGTTGGGTTAGTGTCAAGACACCTGGGTTCCTTTCCAGTTCATTCATTCCTTTCCCATTACATCTTCCTCCCACTGTGTTCCGTGTGGCAGGGATGCACTGGTGGAAAAAAGACAGCAGTACTCCAGTGAGACAGCCAGGCAGTGTACAAAGAGTGAAGTGCAGCATACAGTGTCATGGAGGGCCAAAAACTATAAAGAAAAATAAAATACAACACAAAGTAAAGCCGGCTGAGGGATTGGAGGGTTCGGAGGAATTCTGACAGTCACCAGTTGGGCAGCCGCGTAGAGCGAGGGGATTGACTCAGGTCTGTGTTTTCAAACAGTGTTCACTGAGAAGAGCCCCCAGGAGTTTGGGAGGGTGCCTCAGGGGTCTTCATAAGATAGCAGGGAGGGGCGAATTGGTTGGGGGCTGACTTGTTAGACCCCTTTCCCTTACTCCTAACCAGAGCGGCACCTTTAAAAAATTTCTTTTC